GAAGCCCAATGAAACAATGAAAGACACAGGAGCTTCTTGGAGCTCCTGTCAATCAACCTTGGCTAACATCTCAATCTTAGGAATCTGCACCAAGGCCACTAGATAAGACACCAGAAGGTAACCATTAATACACACACAACATCAAAGGGTACTGAATTCGCATCACTCCTAGGAAGTCAGAATTGAGCCTGCGCTCGAGGAATGAGCAGCCCCCGGGAGGGAGCCCTGGCTCTTCTTACAGTACAACCAGGACCACAGGTGCTGCTCTGCACAGAGGCTGTCAGGAGTCTGCACTGGGCACTCGCAGCTCGGAGGAGCAGGTTGGCCAGGACACCTGGATGCCTTGCCATGGCCAGGGTTAGACGGCTGCCTACCAGCGCTGTGACAGAGCAAAAGGTACACATGGGCGACTCAGGCCAAAAACTGCCCCACTGGTGGGTTTGTCTCCCCTGCCTTGTTGGTCACTTTGTGTTTTACAATATCTGAATTAGATCCAAGATTTCAAAACTACTAAGAGTCACACTTAAGAATAACCCTGGGCCGGGCACTGGTGGCTCACGCCTGTAATCCTAGCTACTCAGGAGGCTGAGATCTGAGGATCGTGGTTCAAACCCAGCCCAGGCAGGAGAGACCATGAGACTGCTATCTCCAGTAAACCACCAGAAAACCGGAAGTGGCGCTGTAGCTCAAGTGGTAGAGCGCTCGCCTTGAGCTGAAGAGCTGAGGGACAGCGCCCAGGCCCAGAGTTCAAGCCCCATGACCAACCAAAAAAAATAATAATAATAATAACCCTGGGCCGAGACGGTGGCTCAGTGGTAGAGTGCTTGCCTCGCATGCATGAAGCCCTGGGTTCCATTCCTCAGTACGACAGACACAGAAAAAGCTGGAAGTGGCACTGTTGCTCAAGTGGTAGAGTGCTAAGCCTTGAGCAAAAGAAGCTCAGGGACAGTGCCTGGACCCTGAGTTCAAGCCCAGGACTGGCAAAAAAATAAATAACTCTGGCTGCTCAAGAAAAAAGGAAGAGTTGACCAACACCCAGTTGCCTCCTTTAGTTGGGGTGCATATAATCCAGAGCCCCACTTCCATCCTCCAGAAAATTTACTCAACACTGAGTCATATGTCTCCTGCCTCTGAACATGTGCCATTAGTTGTGCTAAATCTGGCCTGTTCATTCATGTACCTTCCAACATTCAGCACCATTTGAACTTGTGACCTTTGTCCTAGTACAGTGTACTGAAAAGGTCCCCTCGTGGTCTACCAGAGGAAAAAGTCCCCTCGTGGTCTACCAGAGGAAAACGTCCACAGGACTCTAAGATACCAGTCTCATAAAGTCAGCTAAAAATGTTAGCTGCTGAAATGTTAGCGGCTGAGTTCTTTCTTCACTGAACAACTTGATATAGTCAGAGAGCAAACTTTCTCCCCTGACATTTTCTAAGCAGCGATCACAGTAGCTAACTACTAAGATTCTTTTTCTTAAAAACCTGAGCAGAGCTTATTAATGAGTATTGGTCACTTGTAAACTAATGCTTAAAAGATCAAAAATATATCCATTAGCTGAGTGCCAGTGGCTCACGCCTGTAATCCTAGCTACTCAGGAGGCTGAGATCTGAGGATCACAGTTCTGTTTGTTTTTTGGGTTTTTTTGGGTCCGGTCATGGGGCCTGAACTCTGGGCCTGGGCGCTGTCCCTCAGCTCTTCAGCTCAAGGCTAGTGCTCTACCACTTGAGCCATAGCGCCACTTCCGGCTTTTTTCTTTTTGCTTATGTGGTGCTGGGGAATCGAACCCAGGGCCTCAGGCATGCAAGGCAAGCGCTCTACCACTGAGTCACCTTCCCAGCCCCTGAGGATCACAGTTCAAAGCCAGCCCAGGCAGGAAATTCCATGACACTTATATCTCCAACAAACCACCAGAAAACTGGAAGTGGCACTGTGGCTCATGTGGTAGAGTACTAGCCTTGAGCTGAAGAGCTGAGGGACAGCACTCAGGCCCAGAGTTCAAGCCCCACAACCGACCAAAAAAATAAATATATATATATATATATATATATATATATATCCACTAATCAGTTTATAAGAGTTAAAGCACAGGTTTAGAGTAGAAGAATACATATTTTTAAGTCCTCCAAAAAATTTTTTAAAGATTAGACAAAAGTTGCATTTTCAGGGTGCTCGCCTCGCATGCATGAGGTCTTGGGTTCAATACCTCAGCACCACATAAGCAGAAAAAGCAGGAAGTGGCGCTGTGGCTCAAGTGGTAGAGCCCTAGCCTTGAGCTGAAGAACTGAGGGACAGTGCCCAGACCCAGAGTTCAGGCCCCACGAACAAACAAAAAACAAAAAAAAAAGAAGTTGCCTTTTTAAAAAATATATACACAGCAATCACAAAAGGTCTTAACTATGTAATGGTACTACAGAAGTCCTTAAGACAAACTTTATATGCCCTATTTCAACAACCAATTTTATTCCTTAAACTTCCTTTTGGAAGAAACAAATTTTCTTGGATCTTTTAAAAGTAACACTGATTATTACTATTAACAGGCTAGAATTACCTTAAGTGTTTAATGTTATATATGAAAAGCAATAGCCTTTTATAAGCAAATCACATATTGTAATACCAACTTCTTTTCTTTCTTTTTTTTCTGGTCCATCATGAGGCTTGAACTCGGGACCTGGCACTGTCCCTGTGCTCTTTTGCTAAAGGCTAGTGGCTTTATCACTGTAAGCCACAACACCGCTTCCAATTTTCTGGTGGTTAATTGGAGATAAGGCTCACAAACTTTGTTGCCCAAGCTGTCTTTGAACCTTGATCCTCAGATCTGCCTCCTGAGTAGCGGCCCAACTCCTTTTTTTTTTTTTGGTCAGTCATGGGGCGTGAACTCTGGGCCTGGACGCTGTTCCTCAACTCTTCAGCTCAAGGCTAGCGCTCTACCACTACAGCCACAGCACCACTTCCGGTTTTCTGAATGGTTTATTGGAGATAAGAGTCTCATGGCCTTTCCTGCCCAGGCTGGCTTTGAACCATGATCCTCAGATCTCAGCCTCCAGAGTAGCTAAGATTACAGGCATGAGCCACCGGCACCCGGCCCAACTTCGCCTTTTTTTTTTTGGTCAGCCGTGGGGCTTGAACTCTGGGCTTAAGCGCTGTCCCTGGGCTCTTCAGCTCAAGGTAAGCGCTCTACAACTTGAGCCACAGCACCACTTCCGGTTTTCTAGTGATTTTTATTGGAGATAAGAGTCTCACGTACTTTCCTGCCGGGGCTGGCTTTGAACCTCAATCCTCAGATCTCAGCCTCCTGAGTAGTTAGGATTATAGGCGTGAGCCACCAGCGCCTGGCATAACTTCTCCTTTTTACACTACTGAAATGTTCACACAAATGAAGGAAGCCTAGAAGAAGAAAATAATCACAAAAAAACAAACTAGCTGCGTGCTGGTGGCTCATGCCTAAAATCCTAGCTACTTAGAAGGCTGAGATCTGAGGATCACAGTTTGAAGCCAGCCTGGACAGAAAAGTTCCCATGTCCATTAACCACTCAAAAACCAGAAATGGCACTGTGGCTCAAGGTCATAGAGCACTAGCTTTGAGCAAAAAAGACCTCCAGGACAGCACCCTGGCCCTGAGTTCAAGCCACACAACCAGAAGAAAAAAAGACAAAAGTGTGTATAAGTAAGGTATAGTACTATCCTTTTGGTTTGAAGACCCAGAACAGATGATGATTAATGAAGGACATAGCAACAAGACATAGCAACAAAAAACCACATATAAGACTTCTAGACAGTTGGGTGTCGGTGGCGCATGCCTACCTACTCAGGAAGCTGAGATCTGAGGATCACGGTTCAAAGCCAGCCTGGGCAGGCAACTCCTTGAGACTCTCATCTCCAAAAACCACTAACAAAGGAAGTGGTGCTGTGGCTCAAGTAGTAGCATGCTCGCCTTGAGCTGAAGAGCGCAGGAAAAGCACCCAGGCCCTGAGTTCAAGCCCCACGACCAACCCAAAAAAAAAGAAAAAAAAGAAAGAAAAAGGACTTCTACAAAGATTGTTTTAAAAACTAAGATGAAACTCAATTTTTATGGCGATGGTGGCTCACACCTGTAATCCTAGCTACTCAGGAGGCTGAGATCTGAGGATCACGGTTCAAAGCCAGCCTGGGCAGAAGAGACCGTGAGACTCCTATCTCCAATAAACCACCAGAAAACCGGAAGTGGCGCTGTAGCTCAAATGGTAGCGTGCCAGCCCAGAGTTCAAGCCCCACCACCGACCAAAAAAAAAATTTTTTGCTTTAGTGGGGCTGGGAAGGTGGCTCAGTGGTAGAGCAAGTGCTCTTGCAACTTGCCTTGCATGCATGAGGCCCTGGGTTCGACATGCATGAGGCCCTAGGTTCGATTCCTCAGCACTCAGCCGGAAGTGACAAGTGGTAGAGCACTAGCCTTGAGCTGAAGAGCTGAAGGACAGCGCCCAGGCCCAGAGTTCAGGCCCCACGACCGGACCCCCAAAAAAAAACAAAAAAAAAAAACTTTGCATTAGTCTGGCACTAGGTGAACACTTTCCAGTGATCCTGCTTCCTAGTACACTATATCCAACTTAGGCATTTTGCCAGTCTGGATATTTTGGAGGGGGGTGGGTGAACTAGAGTAATCACAAAAGTAGACTAGCCACATGGATGTATTATTCCCCAAGTTGTCTTTCCTCGAGTGCTAATTAGCACTAAGCATATCAAACACCATGTACGTATTAGCAATGCCGTATTTTCAAATTTGCTTACTTTTCACAGTCTGAATCAAAACTTCATTTGAATTAACACTACCTGGACAGTAATGACTAAACCAAAGGGCCTTTTTTAGTTTCCGGACCGAAACGGGAATCAGAAGTAGCTCCTCGTAGCTGACATGTAACATGTGGATGGGAAATAACACCAGCACTTTCCCAAAGATTCTTCTAACTCCGAACTTCCTTCGGTGGAACACCCACCAAGTCTTTGGGGTGCTGTGAAAACCCACTTACCCGGTCCTTCATCCTCCAGCTCTGAGCTAAGGACTTGGAGCCTTCAATTTTCTCACAGTGCCTCTTTTTCATAAAAGCCAAAGGCAGATTCCAGTCGGTGAGGTCGGCCTCGTCGTCCTCCCCGAGTCCCAGCGGGGGCGACTGCAGCAGTTCGGACTCCATCTGGGGGGGAGGGGGAGGGGGAGTCCTTGGCAGCAAGCGCTCGAGAACCTCCAGCCTTACAAATTAGTGTGCACCAGAACGGACCTGGTGAAGTGAGACGCAGAGAGACAGGCGGGGGACGCCGGGGTCGGAAAGGAAATCGGAGAGCGGGGGGCTGGAGAACGGTCCTTATTCGGTCCAAAAAAAAAAAAAAAATCAACGAAGCTGAGATCCCCAACTCGGCGCGGGAAGTCGGAGGCGAGGCCGGGAGAGCCGGCGGGGCGGGCGGGCGGGCGCGGAGCCCCGCACAGGCTCGGGCGCCGCCGGACCCCACGTCGCGGGCAGCTCTCGAGGCGATCCGGACCCCGCGAGGGTCCAGGGCGGCCGAGGCCTCTGCGCGCCGGGCGGGCCCGAGGCCGGGCGGGCCGCCGCTGTGACCGCGGGCCCGCGGGCCGCCCGCTCCCGGCCCGAGCTCCGGCAGGCCGCCCCGCTCCGGAGCCGGCGCGCCGCTCGGGGTCGGGCTCGCGGCGTCCCGCGGCTCTCACGCCCGCCGGAGCGGCGGCGCCCAGCGCCACGGCCGGCCCATCGCGCCCGCCGCGGCCGGCGCCTCAGCCCGGGCCCGTGCGGCCGGCCCGCTGCGGCCCTCAGCCGCGGGGCTCTCCCTGCCCGACGAGGACTCGGAGCGGCAGGCGGCACCGACCCGCGGACAACACCGGCCACGTGCGCTCGGGCGCGGCGGGGGGGTTTGCCCTCTGGTTGGGAGCGACGCTGAAACTCCTCTCATCAGCACGTCAAGGAGGACGCCATATTGCCGAGACCCAGCATGCACCGCGTCTACGGAGCGGTCAACGAGCCACACTTCCTCGAGCGTGCTTGCCGCGCTCGCGAGGCTGCCGCAAAGGAAGAGGCCCGCTCCCGTTACCCGGGTAACCGCGGTCCCGCTCTGCGTTCGTTTGTCTCTATTGGAGATGCCTGCGAGGGAAGTCAGTCCCACCGTCTCAACTGGGTCCATTCATTAGTTCAAGAAAGCTTTGTGTTATTACCAACAGAACTACATGCTTCTAAATTAGAGAAAAAGAACACTTTGTTTCTTCTAGACTTTCAAAAGGCAATAAAAGCTCCTGAAAGAACCATTGATGAAATACAAAAAACTGGAGGGGGGGGGGGGAGAGGAGGGGCTGACACATTGTATCCTTCACAGGGTCAATCAAAATTGTCTCTTTAATTGTCCCATAGAAAATCAAGTGAAAAATAATTTCACCGAATACGATTTTTTTATTGTTGCTCCACCCATGTTATTTCCTGAACCACTTCTTCACGTTTTGATAAAGGTCCATGTGCAAAGAATTGAAGCTGTAGATTCCCAGGCATGAAGGCAAGCCTCCTACATTACTTTCTTTCTCAATTCGGTAGATTTTGTTTGCTGACTGTACTGGCAGAACTCGGTTGGTGCACCTGGGAACATCCACTGGAGGCTCCATGCAGCCTGGGTCGTGGATAAACAGGTTATCTGGAGACATCATAGCTGTCAGGTAGAGCCCACACCCGCCAAGAGGCCCATCTCCTCTCTGCCTTTCCGTTTTGCTATCAACCATGCCTGGATTGGCATCTTGGCTGTTCCTCTTCTATTTCCATGATTTGTCAACCCCCTGATTAGCTCGGTCTTAGTTTCCTAAATCATAAAACTTAGATACTACGGGGCTGGGAAGGTGGCTCAGTGGTAGAGCGCTTGCCTTGCATGCATGAGGCCCTGGGTTCGATTCCTCAGCACCACATAAGCAAAAAGAAAAAAGCCAAAAATGGCACTGTGGCTCAAGTGGTAGAGCGCTAGCCTTGAGCTGAAGAGCTGAGGGACAGCGCCCAGGCCCAGAGTTCAGGCCCCAGGACTGGACCAAAAAAAAAAAAAAACAACTTAGATACTACTACCCACCTGGAGAGATGGGATTAACTCTGGATGCCCAGTGTGTAGTGAGTACCATTGGCCACATAGTTCCATATACACCTGTGATCACTGCCAGGGTCTATGGCTAGAGTGCAGTCTAGCAACCATGTGCCCTAGTTATCCAAAACCCCAGATTGGTTCTAGCAGATTCTATTTCTTAGAGTGGCTTCTAGGGTTGGACAAATGCGGCAGTCCGTATCGAAATCCTGGCAGTGTTTGTATTTGTTTCAGCCTCAGAGCAAGTGTTGAATCCCAGAGCCTTCCCACCCAGCTCTGCGGCATTCATTTACCCAGCTCTACAGCATTCGTTTGGTTATTACACCACTGAAACTCGGGGCAATGCACCAAAACACAGGAGAGTCAGTTGCCTTCCCCCACTTTCTGCTTTCTGATGGCAAAGAGAATGTCCCCACATTCACCAGCAGTGTCTTCAAGGCTGCAGATGCTCAGAGAGGCAGCTTTGTGGCCCTATAGTGTCCATCGCCCAGCCTGTAGTGTCCATCGCCCAGCCGCAGGTGCCGCCAGCACTGGCAAGGGCCCTCCCTGGCTGCAGGCTTCAAGTAACTGCTCTCCAGCTGCTTTTGCAAGGAGTCACAGCAAGAGAGAAGCGGTGATGTTGAACCTTTCTGTTTGACTGGCTCTGTGCCCTGAAAAACCCATTTCCTGTGTTTCCTCACCTATCAAGGGTGTGACCCTGGGAAATCCACTTACCTCTTCTAACTTTGTAAGTGTCGATAGTGAGCCCACTAAAGTCCAAACCCTAGTCAGAACCACTTGGAAAATTGTTGCAAAATAAAGATGTCCAGCCTCTACCCTGAATCAGGGGGAGAAGAAGACAGGGATAGAGTGTGTATATTTCACAGATGGTAGCATAAGGCCAGTCAGACAAGGGACAATAGTCCCCCAAAGTCTACTCCAGTGATTCAGCTCTGCTCCCATGATGGGGCCCCCATAACTGCTTCCACCCAATGAACGATTCCTTAAGCAATTGTCTGTCCTTCTGTCCAAAACAGTACAGCAAGTTTCACTCTCCCTCAGACCTGCACAAAAAACCACCCTTCACTGCTTCACAGGTGTGACTCAGAACCTAGAGGCCACAGCTGGCAGACAGCCACAAAGCCTCTCTCCACACCTGTAACAGAAGGCTCTAGCAGAGGGCCAATTCCTAAGGATAGTTCACATTCCAAACTCAGTGATTCATGCTATCGCAGCTGGTGAAAATGGGATCTCAAGCCAGGCGTGCACCCAAGCAGGAAGCAAGACCCCATCTCAAAATAACCAATGGGCTTTAAGTAAATAAATGAATAAAGAAAGAAAGACTAGAGACTCACCTAGCTGCCTAGCAAGCAAGACTCTGAGTTCAAACCCCAGAACCATATTTGTTGTTGTTGTTGTTGTTGCTGGGGGGGGGGGGTGTCTGGTAGTGGGCCTGAACTCTGGGCCTGGGCGCTGTCCCTCAGCTCTTCAGCTCAAGGCTAGCGCTCTACCACTTGAGCCACAGCACCACTTCCGGCTTTTTTCTTTTTGCTTATGTGGTGCTGAGGAATCGAACCCAGGGCCTTATGCATGCAAGGCAAGCGCTCTACCACTCAGCCACCTTCCCAACCCCCAGAACCATATTTTTAAAAAATTGAAAGTAAACAAAAACAGGGTGGTAACTGCTTGGTTCTGATCCTGAAGCATCAAAAATGTGCCTGATTCATTTTAGGGCATCCTTGCAGGGTACAGAAAGAGAAATAAAACCTGTCAGGGGTGAGTACTAGCAGGAGGGGGGATGGAGCTAGCAAGGAGGATGGAGGAGGTAGGTTGAGTATGGTAGAAATAGCTTATTTGCAACAATGAAACTTATTAAAGTTGTTTTGGGAATGGGGAGAGGGAACGGAGAGGGTGAGGTAGATTGTAAGCCTGTGGAAATGTAATAAAATGAAACCCGCCCACCTCTATGTATAACTAATTTAAGTTAATCAGAAAGAAAGAAGAAGGAAGGAAGGAAGGGGAGAGAGGGAGAGAGGGAAGGAGGAAAAAAGCCCCTTTCCAATGTGTTCTGGATGCTTCTATTCTGGTTCCAGAAAAGCACTTGGCAGAGCAGTTCAGGCGGGTGTGTGGTGGTGAGCCTCTGTAACCAATTTGCTGCTGGAAACTCAAGAACGTCTTGTCCCACCATCCATCTCCCTGTCCATCCGTCTCCCTCCCTGTCTCTGCACTGGGTGATCTGCGGGCCACTGGGGCCTGCAGTACCAGTTTCCAGTGTCTCTTGCCCTTCACAAGCAAGAACATCAGCTTCTGTAAAGCCTCTAAATAAGATTGCTTACTCCAGAAAGCATTGCCAGTCTCTAGAAATGAATGAACGCTGGTCTGATGCTAGCTATAAAACTGGAGGAAGAGGTTGGCGACAAACTGCCTCCTCAGTCTCTTCCCCTCCGTCCCCAAGATCTCAGAGCAGAGGAATTCTTAACCCAAGTGACCCTGGCACCCACTGAGGGCCAACGTTGGGGTGGGGGGAGAAGGGGTTTCAAGACCCAGCTTTGATCCAAAGCAGCAAACAGGCAAACGGACCCCAAGGTTCTTCTGCCTGACGGATGGGGGGGAGGTACCCCATCCTTCAATAGGAAGAAGGCCACGTGAGCCCTGCGGGCTCTAAAACCCTGCAGGCAACCAGAAGCCAAAGCTCCAGCCAAGTGAGCAAGAGAACCAGACAGTGTAAATCACATACTGGAGAAGTTGAAGGAAATTGGGGCGTGGGTGGGGGGCAGGAAGAGGGTCTAGATCACTGTCACAGATAAACAGCTTTTTCAGGGAGAAGCGAGGGGCGGGAGGCCCCGGCCTCCAGCTCGGCAGCCAGTGGGCTGCAGTGGAGCAAGGCCTTCCTCCAGCCAGGGCACTCATCCTCAGGGAGGGCCGCTGCAGCCGGTCTCCAATATTGCAGTGTCTCCACTAAATCAATCAAGGACACAGAATATGTTTTGTCATCAAGAATCTGGAACACGCCTGGAGGTCAGGGAAGGGAAGAAAACCCCGGGTACCTGGCTCAGCTATTGTTTTCCAGGCAGGGAGACCAGCCAGCTCCTGTCCTTTCCAGAGAAATCTATGCTTAGCTTAAAATAAACCAAAATAGATTATATCAAGTACTTCAGTTTTGTCTGAGTGTCATTACTCTGTCTTTAGCAAACTCTTAAGCTATACCTCGCCCTCCCCCCCCCAGCCCTCCTCCCCCCCCCCCCCCATACCCCTCTGCAGGTCAGATGTTTTGTTGACAGCGAAGTGAGAA